CTGAGAAGAAATAAAAAGCAAAACTTGGGTTTAATATGTGTTTATACATTGTATTATACATGTCAGTTTCTTTTCATTCCTACACATAGATTAATGAAGAACCATTGATGATATATTCTTTCTTTGAGAAGGACAAATTAAGCATACTCATAATTAGTCAATTTTATAGAACAGAAGATAAGCTATGGAGATATAGTTCAAATATAGGTAGTGCAGGAAGTGGGAATGCTGAGAGAGTTACAAAAGGAAATGTGTTTTAATCACCTTTGGAATAAAACTTGCAGTGCCCGTCTCTTATATGTCTTGTTTGTGTGTAAACAGTCTCTTTCATTCTGTTTCAGCTGTCATAGTGTTCCCTGTTGTATTTTGCAATTGTCTTCAATACCGATCATTTATATAGTATATTATGATTTGATGTTTGATTAATAGACAGAAATAATAACTCTTACAGGTATTGGTATCCTACTCATTGGTCACTATGCCTCTACTTCCTCATATGAGTCTCCTAACTAGAACTCAGCAGTCCATGAATTCTGACTGGCTCTTATTTTTTCCTCAATCATCTCGTTTTCTTTGTCACTTGCGAACATGTCATTTAAGATACATTTGTAGAGTACCCAGATGTGCTCAACTTTGTACTTTTAATCCACTTATTGACCTAACTTGATAACTGACCATTGAGTTTTATAGATGGTTATTTTTTATTTAATCTAAAAAGAAGCAATTGCCCATATTAAATTTTTTTGTTCCAGTAGTTTTCACATCTTTTGAGTTAGGGGACCAAAATAATTAATTTTGATGCTTTTGTTTTTGACTCTGTGGACATTTCTTTATTTTGGTCTATATTGAAAATGTATCATATACTCAATGATTTTCATTTTGTGGATATATTAATTGGTTTTTCAACTTGTGGTTGGTAAAAGAAAATAATAACACATAACAGAATATTAAATTTATATTTCAGTTTTTATAAGTGACTATTGCTGGTGGTAAACCTTCTTTATTAAAAGTGAAATCTGATATGTAGACAAGAATATAATTATCTTGTCTTTTGGACATAGCTTTTCCACATCACTCTACATATTTTCTCATGAATATATAGTTACTCTAAATTTTCAAAATAATCCTGATATTTTTTCTTATTTCATTATTGTGGAATTATAATAAAAACACTATGTGTATCTAATAAAAATTGACTGAATATGTTTCATTGAAATAAATTTTAAGGTGCTTAGTACATTATCACAGGAGGCTAAATATTGTCATGTGGTTAATGTAGTTAAAACAAGTATTTAAGGTGGTCCTACAAACTACCAGTTAGCAATATCATTGATTACTCTCTGACATGTGTTATTTAGGCAGGTCTCAGTTAATTTGTTCATCTCAACAGTTCTGTTGAGTCTACTAACTTGCAATCCTCAGATGATGGTCTTAGGGTAAGTAACTTGTCAGAGATCTCCAAGGTATTAGGCATTAGAACCAAGCTTTTAAACCAAGTAATCTATCTCCAGATTACATGTTCCCAAGTTACATGTCTTTTAATGTCATTTTTCTGTTTCACTAATGTCACTCTGAGATGACAGAGAGTAAAACCTCACATTAGCATATTTTAGATTAGAAGAAGCCAAAAGGCATAAAATTAAATTATAAAATGAATAAGTTCTGGAGACATAATGTACATCATGGTGACCAAATTTTAAACCTTGCATTGTTGATCTGAAACTTGATGAAACAACCAATTTAAAGTGCTCTCAACACAAACACACATACAAACACAGAGTATCTATGGGTGGTGAAACATAATTAATTAAATTGTAGTCAGTACACAGTGTGTAATATAAAAGATCATCAGTACAAAGTCATCAGTTTATATATATATATACATATATATATATCCTGAAAATATACAATTTTGACAAAATAAAGAGCAGTGAATTATGTTTAATACAGAAAATAAATTCAGAAAAGTCAAAAAAGAAATTGACTCAGAAATATAAGTCAATTTATCCATTTTGGATGAGAGTATTTGCTCAAATATAAAGT